AAAAAAAAAAAAAAAAAAAAAAAAAAAACACATCATAGTAAAATTAATACCTTCTCAGCTTCGCATCGAAGCTAAAAATTAATAATGTTTCATTTAAAACTCTTTTAAGATTTTAATATAAACTAGTTAAACAAATAAAATTCAAGTTAAACCAAAAACTCTTATTTTAACTCAGTCTTTATAATACCTATATAATTATGAAGTTTGTTCAAATTTAAATTTTTTTTACAGTTTTTTTATAATATCAAATATTATTCTACACTATGTAAAAAAAGCCGAAAGAAAAAATACTATCTTTATATTTAATACCGGTAATAGTATGTAGATTTTTTCATGAGAATCATCAATGCTTAAACAAGTATAAAAAATTAACAGTAATATTGTAGCATTATCAAACATTGACAAGTTATTTAAGTTTTATTATTTATAATGTTTTAATACTAATACTACTTATTACTAATGCATTATTTCAAAAATATTCAAATGGCTCGATTTTTTATTACTAATTTTAAGAATAAATTTATAAACACATTTGTTAACATATAATTTAATAAGGATTTTAATAGTATAATAACTATGATGAAAGTAAGAGATTAACTAAATATTATCAGTTATAATTACAACATTTATGTCATTAACATACAAAACACTTTCATAATTTTGTATTATGAGATTGTTATCATTTTAAAACAACATGTGATCGCTTGAGCATTAATGATATATATGGAAAAAAGGCAATACGGTAATAAATATTTCAGCTAGTATGAATATATATGGTTATTTCTATAATTTATTTTACAACATAGATTACTTTTTGATACTATAGAAAAAATGTTAAAAAAGTAAAATTTTAATAAACTTCAAAAAGATGTAATAATTCAACTGAATTAAAAAAATAGTTTTTAATTTCAACATTTTTCTTTAAAACTAATCTATAAAATAGATATTTTTTAAAATCCCCCAAAAAATATCCTATTTTACTGTATCTAATCTATCTAGTTTGCTATAAATGCTTTATAGTATCAACTTAATAAATAAATGTTTGAGATTTCAAATTTATTATTACTCTTTTTAGATTTGTGATCGAATTAGACAGTCTGCTCAAGGAACTAAACGTCGAGTATTTGTAATTGAAACTATGGGTGGATATTGCGGTTATTTAGCTACTGTTGCTGGTTTAGCTGGAGGAGCAGATGCAGCATATATTTATGAAGAGAAATTTACCATTAAAGACTTGCAAAATGATGTATATCATATGGCTTCAAAAATGGCTGAAGGTGTTCAACGTGGTTTAATATTGAGGTAAAGTTTAAAAGTGAAAAAAAATTACAACTTTTATTGTTGAAATATTTTCTATATTATATAGGGTATTTGATTTATCATAAAAAAATCGATAATTTACAAAATAAATACAATATTAAAAATAAAATGTTGGACTTTTTTAATTACACATATTTTTTTATTTATCATCTATTAAATATTTTTTAAAATCACCTTATAACTCATAGTGGTGTTAACTTAATATTTTTAAATAACAAACTTTTGGAACAGTATTTATAATTTATTTTTTATTAGTTAAAATTTGGAGAATAATGGTGCGAGTCAAGTTCAATTTTTTTTATTTTAAAATTTTGACCATTGATCCATAACCAGACTATTATACTATACTGAATGTGTATCACATTCACAAGTCACAAAGTCACAAGGTCACTAGTGTACCTTCCACTCTTCCAATTTTCATATCTCTAGTGTTAAAGAATCAACCACCATATTATTACTATTTATTTACATTTAAAATCCTTTATTCAAAAATTATTGCTTATACCATAGAAGATAGGAAATACACTGGGACTTGACAGTTTAATTATTTAATTTCCATTCCATGTACTATAAAAGTAATCTTTAATCAAAATATTAATAAATATATATATATATATATAATATAATATATACCTACACTTATTTTAGATAAAGTTTAATCTATATTTATTTATTTATAATGTTTGCACTCACAAGAGCAAGACTAAAAATTTATAACATATTTTTACATAATACAATAATTATTATTAACATTTAAAAACATAATTTTTAAATTTAAAACTGTTATCAAATCATAAATAAAAATTGTACAGACTATTACATTAATTCATAAATTTCTAAATTTCAAGGAAAATGCCAGAATTTAGAGACCAATTAAACAATCTAAAAATAGTATATGCTAATGAATAATAAAAACTTTTCAAAAATATTGTTGGTATCAAGTCTGGTCAAAGTTTAGGATCATTATTCAGCTCGTTTAGTCCTTGAAAATTTTCTGCTAGAGTAAAGGAATATTCAGATAAATAGCATTATTAACATTACAAGGTTTTGAACCATTGAAGGAGGTTTGATTGAAATCAGTACATCAATTAAAGAAATTTACTAACTAAAAAATTATGATTTTTTTAAGTTATGATTAGCTTCTAGATTATCTAATTCCATCAAAGCTAGTGATACATTTTTATTTTTCTTGTTTTTAATAAAATTCTTAAAAGAACGGGGGTTTATTTTCAATTGATTTTGAGTAAAATCCAAGTACTATAACAAAGTGTTGATGTTTGTTTACATTTAGCTCTTAAATTAGAAAACTTGTAATCATTTGGACATTTAGATAATTTAAATGCTTTATGAGCAACTTTTTTTTGTTCAACCATAATTTTTAATTTATTACTTACCCCTAATGAGAATTTATGTTTACGTTCATAAGATTGAGGAACATACTTAATCATAATGGAAATCACAACAAGGTGTGACCTCCTCTATTAGTCGAGCCCCAGAGTGGGGTCCATTGCTTGAGCCTGCATCATGTATAGGTGGGGGTAGGACTTTGTGACAGTTTGGGATTACAATAATTAACAAACATAAAATAACATATATCCTAACCTAAGGTATTAGATTGAACCAGCGTCTTATGGCTTTTTGCCCTTTGATAAGAGGCTGTCTTTGTCTCAGACGCTTCTTTCTTCCTTTTAAGAACGAATTTCACAAACACATAGACAGTTTCGTCCGTTCGGGAGCCCACATATTAAACCGGAGTCCATCATGTCCACTCCGTTCAGATGATACGAATAGTGGGAGTACATCTGAATGATCTCTCGTTTGAAGGTAATTATTGAAGTAGCCATATCTGGACATTGCTTGAGAGAGATGTTAGGTAAACTCCCTGTAAATCTGGCCAACCCATCTCTTGATCCGAATAAGGGTCTAATGAGGGACTTCGTTCAATGGCTTACCTATTCCTCTTTGTTTTAATGTTTACGTAACCAAAATATTGCCGTCCACCTTAGGACTATACAGTCTTTCACATCTAGTGGTTGATTATACTCCCGGCGGATGGTGCACTCTTTTACCAGGTAATCGGCGGGCAGTAAGGACGCCAGAACACTGGCCGTTGTATCAAAAACTGTACGGTAGACTGATGTGTCCCTTATGGTTGGCCTCCTTTGTACACTTAGGAAGGTCTCTTGATTTTTGGATAAATACTCCAGTGTATCTGCCCAAACCGAGGACCCATAAAGAGTACCGAGTGCACAACTCAGCTACACTTCCTATACTTAAAGTGGTCTCTATTTTAAAAAGGATAGAATTAGTTGTTGATTCAGAAATCGATATTAAATATTTTTACTTTTAGAGTGTACCAATTGATTCTACAATTTTATGAAATAATTTTTTTGCATTTTATACCATATTTTAGTGCATAATTCGTTTTTTTAGAACTGAAGTTATGTGCCTTGTTAATTATACTATAATTGTATTAATTTAATATTTTGAATAAAAAATAACATATAATAATCATGATTTTATCTATTTCAGAAATGAAAAGTGTAGTGAAAATTACAATACAGATTTCATTTTTAGATTGTATACTGAAGAAGGAAAAGGACTCTTCAGTACTCGCATGAATGTTCTTGGTAAAATAAAATTAAATAACATATGCTACAATAAAAATTTTTTTTTTTCTAATTCATATTTGTATCAATATTTTTTACTTTCTTATTTGTAGAATTTTAATCTATAATAAAAATAGTATGAGTTGCTCAGAATTTTCTGGTAGAATTATGTTTGTAACAGTTGTTGAAAAATTTGAATCAACTTATGGATTTTTTTGGGATTTTCATAGTTATTTTTACAGTTATATTATGCTAAACAGTTTTATTTTAAAACTTATAAAAATAATTACATATATTGACATGTGTTTTGTTGAAAAAATTAATGTTAATGTACTTTAGGACATATGCAACAAGGCGGTTCCCCAACTCCATTTGATAGAAACATGGGAACAAAACAGGCAGCAAAATGTGTTGAATGGCTTGTTGAAAAATTAAGAGAATCTACAAGACCTGATGGAACCATCTATACAGATGTTCCTGAAACAGCTGCTATGATGGGTGTTATTAAACGGCAGTATCGTTTCACACCATTAACTGATTTAGTACCAGTTACTAACTTTGAGTAAGTTATTTATAACGTTTCTTTATTTTTTAATATTTGTCATAATAAACAAAGTTCAAACCATATATTTTATTACTTTAGACAAAGAATACCTAAGACCCAATGGTGGTTGAAATTAAGACCACTTTTACGTATACTTGCTAAACATGACAGCGCTTATGAAGAAGAAGGTATGTACATAACAGTTGAGGAAGGATTGGAAGCAGACACATTGTTAGTGTGATGAAATATGTATAACATAAATTCTTTTATAAAATTATCAGTAAAATACATATGGAACATGATAATAACTAATTTAGTAACTACATTTAAATTTTAATAAAATAATTTTGGATATATATTATGCTAGTGAACACTCTAGTCATCTTGTGTCATTTAGATTATCCATTTGAAAAAAATTATCATTAGAACTTATTAATAATGATTTTGTATAAATTAATTTTGAATCAGTCATTTTAGTACTTATGAAATAATATATTGTAATACAGTGTCCTAAACGTTGTTTTCTATGTTGTAAATGGATATAATTTATATTTAATTATTGCTATGTTTTTGTTTTAATACTTCTTCCAATTACAAAATATCTGTTAGTTTTGAATTTTTGTATGTTGAATTTCTAGTTTAAATAATGATCAATAATGTGTGCTAGTTAAATAATAAATAAATAATTAGTAGCTATGCAGAGGTGAATTTTTTTTTTAATAAATAAAATAGGTTAATTATAAAATTTTTAGCATCGAGTTTTTCATGATTGTTTAAAAGGGTGTAATAAATTATACAGTGTGCTGTTGCCTATTTGGACATTTACCAGTGGTGGTTATAAATGACTTAAGAGGAGGTGAAGATAAATGAAACATCATAGGATATAATTTGAGTTCATTACCAACTAGTAGGCTCATTGGGGATATTAGGGGTTTCTAAATATCCCTAAGTTATAAAGACTCGTATTTCTTTCTTTCTTTTTTATAGATGTCTTGCGATTATTTTTAAGCAAAAAGCCAATTATGGCCGCGAATAAAATGTTAAGTAGTTCTAAGATTTAAACTAAATACACGCACACTACTTTTCTCGAAATTTCAAAATAATTACAAATTTTAATTGAATACATTGTAGCTTCGATTTATTTATTATTCTATCTTTTTTTTAGCGAAAAAAAATTGAAAACATTTTATTTTACCTAAAATAGTGACTAAAATCAAAACTTTAAATAAACATAAGATATGAAGGGGTGCAAGTGTGACCTTGAAACTTCAGATTATTTCTGAAGAATATATCAATATCAATATTTCGTCTACGAAAAACGTCTTGTTGGTATTGGTTCAATGGACTTTAAAATGCACTACTTCAAAAAAAGTTTTAAATGATTCGTATCACTGTTTTTTTATGATACTAACGTTAATCATTGTCATATATTATCTTTACTTGTCGCAACTATGACGCGTCTCACTGTGATGGGTTTTTTTATACTTCTATACCTTTTTCTGTTAGCAGAAGAGTATACAAAGTATCTTTTTTGTGTAAATTCATAAGTATCATTTATATGTAAATAATAAACAAATTATAATATTGAGATTTTAGTATGAATAGACTGGTTGATTTTAATCTTTCTATTATCCTTTAAAGAAAAGTCAAAAAATAAATGATTGGTTATGTTATGTTTAAAATTAGTTAAAAATCGCACATTATAAACAAAAATTCCAATTTAAAATTTAAATGAACTATTATATCAACAGCAGCAGATATTTACTTACATAACTTATGTTTATTTTTTCAGAAAAATAGTTAACCATCAATTTAAATATAGAAGTTCTACACAGATCAAAAAATCCAATCATTATTTTAGTCCAATATTATGTAGATCTAGTTCTAAATTAAAAATTATAGATTGGGCTCGTCATAAGTATTAATTGGATGGGTTAATAAAAAAATAAAAGAGCATTAAAATAGTATTCATAAATTATGGTGGATTGGGCTGGGAAATTTTTGGTATAGTAATCTAGTTTTTCAAAATGAATTATTCTAGTTAAGCTAATTTTTAATAAACCACTAATGAAAGGAATTTTCTCTGAAGTAGTTATAAGAAGTATGTAAAATTCTAACAAATTACGAGTTGTCAAAAAATAATTATAAATTGTCAATTGTTCTCATATACACATGACACATTTGCCAAGAAATTTTTTTTCATTGAAAAATGTAATTATCTTAAAAAAGAAAAAGATTTCGAATGAATGTCACTTATGGTAACTATAAAGATTTCTAGTCATAACATAGTAGTTAAATTAAATATTAATAAATAAAAATTACATTTTATATATTGCGGTAATTTAAAAATATAGGTGAGAATTTTTCAATTTTCTACTTGATCAGACAATTGAAAAAAAAATTATTATTTTATGACAGATATTAGGTTAAGTTTGAAATATTTTATTTATTTCTTTAATTTTATAATTATTATGTAATTTTTACTAATATCTATAATGTTCTGGCTTAAAAGGTCCATTTGATGGAATTCCAAGATAATTGGCTTGTTCTTCAGTAAGTTTGGTTAATTTAACTCCTAAATGATCTAAATGTAAAGTAGCCACTTCTTCATCTAATTTCTTAGGTAATACATATACATTATGTTGATATTTATTACTTTGGGTCCAGAGTTCAATTTGAGCAAGAACTTGATTGGTGAATGATGTGCTCATAACAAAAGATGAATGCCCAGTAGCACAACCTAAATTCACTAATCTTCCTTCTGCTAAAAGTATTATATGTTTTCCATTAGGTAAAGTATATCGATCAACTTGAGGTTTAATATTGATTTTTTCAATGGCATTTTTTTCAAGCCAAGTGACTTGAATTTCACAATCAAAATGACCAATGTTACAAATAATAGCATCATCAGGCATATGAGGGAAATGTGCTCCTGTAACTATGTCTTTGCAACCTGTTGTTGTCACGTATATTTGACCTTTTGAACACACTTCTTCCATAGTGGTAACTTCAAAACCAGCCATAGATGCTTGAAGAGCATTAATTGGATCAATTTCTGTAACAATTACTCGACCACCAAATGCTTTCAATGACATAGCACATCCTTTTCCAACATCACCATAACCAGCAACAACACACACTTTACCAGCAATCATTATATCTGTAGCACGTTTAATGCCATCAATTAAAGATTCACGACAACCATATAAATTATCAAATTTGCTTTTAGTAACTGAATCATTAACATTAATTGCTGGCATTTTTAATATTCCTTCTTTTTTCATTTTATATAAAGTATGAACTCCAGTAGTTGTTTCTTCAGTAACACCTTTAATTCCATCTAAATATTGAGGATATTTCTTATGTACTAAAGTTGTTAAGTCACCACCATCATCCAAAATCATATTTAATGGTTTTCCATCATGGAAAACTAAAGTTTGTTCAATGCACCATAAATATTCTTCTTCAGTCTCACCTTTCCATGCAAATACAGGGACTCCAGTTTTAGCAATAGCTGCAGCTGCATGATCTTGTGTACTGAATATGTTACAGCTAGACCACTGAACTTCTGCACCAAGTTCTATTAAGGTTTCAATTAGAACTGCAGTTTGAATAGTCATATGAAGACAACCGGCAATACGAGCACCTTTAAGAATCTTTGATGGACCATACTTTTTACGCAAAGCTATTAAACCAGGCATTTCTTTTTCAGCTAAAATTATCTCCTTACGACCCCATTCAGCAAGGGATAGGTCAGCAACCTTAAATTTATGTGTAAATCCGTTTTGCATTATTGTTGATGAGTTAACTTTAATTAGTACTGTAAAAATAAAAAATAATAAATTTTTATATTTTAATCATGTTATTTTTCCACTTGGAAAATTTTTTTTTTTCAAAAATTATATTTTATTCAATAAAATTTTATGTAATTTATAATTGTTGTGCTATTGATTTTAGATAATATAATTGATAAGCATAAAAACAAAAATATATTTATATAAAATAAGTTAAAAAATGTACTATGTATTTGCCTAAATATTTACATATACTAAGTGGCTTTGAGTAAAAAATAGTATTCTTTAAAATATCTGTTTCTCACTCAAACATTTTTTTTTGTTTATATAATTAACTATAACTTTTTAGATAGATTATATCAAAAGTTGAAGATTAATGACATTGATATTAAATCAGTAATTTAAATTTTTTATAGGCTGATTTATTTACTTTTTTAGACTAAAATCACAATAATAATATAGTAAAAAAGGAAAATTTTGAAATTTGTTGAAGTAGTTGTGCAATTATGATGGATAATACATCATGGATTGACCCAATATTGACTTAAATAAATTCAAATTAAACAATCATTAAATTAAATCGTTTTAAAATTATAAAAAAAAAATTAATTAAGATCAGCATCTAAACACATAATTAAAATATGATAGTTTGAAAACATATTTATAATAATTTGTAAGTGAAAGTATTTGTAATAAATCAAATATAACTTTCAAGACAATCCATGTTATACAGATAATTAAAATTGGGCAGTTAATACATTTTTTTATCTCATTAAGTTAATTTTGGAAATATTACATTAAGTTAAAAGCTAAAGTATGTATACATTTTTTAACTTAGTACAATTTTAATTTTATTATTATATTGTAATAATGAACTAAAAATGAACATGTTATTTGAGTTAAATAAGTACTATAATAACTTTAATGTTAAATCTCCCAAAAAAGTAACAAGTTATGTAACTTAATTTTAACTTGTAAACAAGTTAGTGCCCAGCTTGTTAATAACTTATACATAATAAAATTATTTGATATTACATACTTACACAATTTCGACACACAACGTTCAATTGATTCAAATAAATAATAATGGTAGTCTAATTATTTTAGTCTAAGAAATTATAATCATGAATAATAATTACTCTACGGAGTGACTTCAGTTGTGAGCAAGTATAAAATTAAAAATTACCTAGAAAAACAATTGTTTCAAACTATTATGAGATACGAATTTCTGATAATTCAGTGGCAAAGGTTGTCGAACAGGAGACAATACCGCGTGTTTAATGTTTAGTTCAAATCGATTTTCGCTAAAATTTCACGATGTTTTTAATACAATCGATATTATACGTGGTATATTTTATCAATAAAATTTTTCTAATTTGTCCATTTTACAAATAGAGACTATCTTTAGATTAAATTTTAAACATAAAATATATTGTTCAATAGTGTAAAATAAACAAAAAATAACATATTATTATTATATAAAATGAAATAATACCACAGAATAGATTAAACTATTTAGTTTAATAGGTTTAATCTATTCTGTGATAATATCATAGAGTACATTATCATATAGTGGTAGTATCAGCTGTAATGTTATCAATTAATCATATTCTTTTTTTTCCAAAAAAAAAAAAAAAACGCTTGTGAAAATCTTTTTTTAAACCAACTCATTTATTTAATTGAAATCTTTCAATTCGTTCCAGTTTTACGAATATTAATATAAAATTATTGTACTTATTTATCTTCTATCATATTTTTATTCAGTGTCCTTAACTATGAAATTTATTTTTAAAACATCAAGATGCGTTGTTATTTGTAATCCCAGATTCCTGAATCTAGAGAGTTGTCTCCATAAAAATTGTAGACATATTAAGTAAGTTCTTTTTATTATAAATCTTTTATTATATTTAATTTATAAAATAAATAAGATATAAGTTGAGTAAGAAATGTTTGTTAGGGTTTATCAATTTTTATATTATGTAAAAACTACATAATTTTGAACAAGCTTTATTTTTTAAACTATTAAAAAAAAAAATTTCAATTATGTTATTTTGGTTAGAGTTTATTTAAAATAACAAAATATTTAGAATAAATGCTAGATAATATAATTTTTTTACTGTCTAGTGTCTGATAAATTATTGGCGAACAACCAAAAGAGAAGACCTCTTTTTTTTTGTTATCACATTATTATTTGGTATTAATTTTCAAATTATGAAGTAATGATTTCACTTTACTTAAAATATCATCTAGTAAAATTTCTTAAACTATTTTTGACCTTAGTAATGCACTATGTTAAGTAAAAAGGTAATAATAATTTTATTTAATTATTATTTTGTTTGGTTATTTATATTTACAGTAGTTGAATATAATTTGTAATTTATTATTATTACTTCCAGAAATGCAGCAGTTTTACACCTCACTCATAAAGAATCAAATAAATTAGGCCAAGATTCTAAAGTTCCTCCTTATTTTAGATCAAGTTTAAATAATAATAGCTCAAATATACAAGCATCTGAAAAAACTAAACCTCAATTAAATGGTTCAAATGAAACAAATACTTCTAAAAATGATCAAAGACTAGAAGATTTAAAGATCTTAAAAGAAAATTCGTTTGGAATACGTTTAATTAATAAAGTAGAAAAAATATCTCCATCTGCTGCTAAGTATGCAAGGATTGGTGTTTTTGGATGTAAAGTAAGAATTATATGAAATTTTCTTTTTCCGCCTAATTATTTTACTATAATTTTTATTTCATTTATTTTAGTATCTGTATAAAGATTGTCAAGTTCTAATTTTTGCATACAAAAAAATATTTACGTCTGGGCTTTCATCTTTAACGTATGAAGAATTAGAAATGAAATATAGGCTTCCAATGCAGCTACTTCGATTAACACCAATTCTTATTTTTTGGCCTATACCATTTACTAATTTTCTTTTATTTCCTTTAGCGTAAGTAAATTAGACATTTTAAATAATTTCTTATGCAATTGTAAATTAGGTTTCTTTGAATATAATTAGTTAATGATGTTTAAATATATTCTAAACTGTTAATATATGCAGAGTATACAGAATAAATAATATGAGTTACTCTTTTATTAATTGTGAAAATAGTGTTTTTAATGTCAAAATTTCATAAAAAAACTTTAAGAAATTAAAAAATTCAAACAAGGTTAAATTTGAAAATTTTATATATAGTAAAAAAATTTAATTATGTTTACAATCTTTGATATTCATTATATTAAAATATAATAGAAAATTCATATTTTTTTATTTTATTTTATCATAAAATTTTAAAGAAAGAACAAGTAAGTTACCTGAAAGCAGAATATAAAAAACAGGCAAATATTTAAACAAAAAAGAACCAGGCATGTGAAGTTTTTAAAATTAAGAAATTTTGAATAATCTTATATTATAGTTAATTAACACTCAATCATAATAACAACAATTTATATTATATTGTAATGTTAATAACATTTATTTTTTATGAATCTGAATTTCAGCTGACTACCTGGTCATTTTCTTTCTTCCTTCGACATTCATTTCACTAACTGTTCTTACAGGTTCCAATTTCTCTCTCATAATATGACCAAACCATTTAAGTCTATTTTCTCTCATCTTATCCACAATTGACGTTACACCCATACTCCCTCTTATAGAACCTATCTTTCAGCCTTATTGGAATTCTTTTATCGCATAACACACCAGACGCTTCTCTCCGCTTCAACCAGTTTCTTACATCCTCGTCAATACCACCGCTCTTTTGCACAACTGATCCTAAATATTTAAAACTTTCCACCTTTCCAATCACGTCTTCGCCTATTATCACTGGTCTCTTTATTTCACCTACCTCGTGTTCTCCTTTATCAAACTCGTACTCTGTCTTACTCCTATTTATTCTTAAACTCTTTTCTTCAAGACCTGATCTCCACAACTCTAGCCTTTGATTAATTTCCTCCCTATTTTCTATTATTAACACTATATCGTCAGTAAACAACTTGCACCACGGCACCTCTCCTTGTATTTCTCTAGTAATTTCATCCATCATTATGAAAATAAGTATAAGCTTAAAGCAGATCCCTGATACACTCTTACTCTTAAGCGAAAACCTTCTGTTACTTCTCCCATACTTTTTACCCTGGTACAAGTGCCATCATACATATCCTCTATTATATTAATGTACCTTTTTGGGACTCCTTTTCTCATTAATGCTCACTTTAGAACCTCTCTCGGTACTCTATCATACGCTTTCTCCAAATCTATAAATCCCATACAAAGCTTTTTCTTTTTTTCCCTAAACTTTTCTATTAGTTGTCTCACACAAAATAATGGCTCCATTGTTGACTTACGAGGCATAAATCTAAACTGGTTTTTAGATATCGATGTCTCATTTCTTATTCTTTTATCCAACTCAAAACTAAACCCAAATCTTCATACTATGACTCATAAGCTTAATGCCTCTATAATTTTCACACTCCAATCTCCTTTACCTTCAAATATTGGTATTACAGTACTATTCCTCCATTCTTTTGGCATTTTTCCTTCTAATAAAATTTTATTAAAAAGATCTTTCAACCACAGTATGCCAACACCGCCTAATATTTTCCATATTTCTACTACTGGCACTTTATCTGGCTCTAATGCTTCATTCTTTTCATTAATGCCACAGCCTCCCATCCCTCTTTATCACTAATTATATATACTAGTCCCTTGTTCCACAAGATATCCCTCTAATATCTCTTTTAGATACTCCCCATTCAGTAATTTTTCAAAATACTCTGTGATTTTTTTCACATTATCATCACTCAATAGCATCCTCTTATTAATACTTTTTATACACATTACATAGTGATAGTGTGATAGTGCTATTCTATCTCTAGCTTAATTCTTTTCACTAAAACCATACCTTACATATACTCTTTAATATCCTTTGCTCTTATTATTTATTCTTATGTCCATCCATATCAACGCATCTTCATTACCAGGTATTCCTTGCATCACCTCATCCATCTCTCTCTCTAAAATACTTCCTTGTCAATTTCATCACATCCTACTTGTACTGAAAAGAACACTTTATTCCATTTTTAATTACATTATTTGCTCTTACCTGCTGTTTCACCGTACTTCCGAGATGGGATAATACACCTAAATTTTGTTCAGGACTCTTAATACTTTTTGACAAAACTTTATGCTTGCTGTCGACCAAACACAGCCTGATTAGTCGACACCTCTTACGACTGGTAGAGAGGCCGTGGAAGTATTCTTAACCCCTATTCACAGGGACATGAATCCAGTATAATATTATTTTTTTAATGTGTGGCACTTTATTTTTCACATATAAAAACATGTACAAAATATTGTTTTTATGTTTTTTGATTTTTCAACATTTCACTATTTGGAGTTATGTATTTTGTCTCTACATTATATTTACATTTATTAATGTGTATATATTTAGATTTATATTTCCTAAATATTTGTTGTCTGAACATTTTTGGAGTGAAGAACAACTTAAACAATTTTGGACACATGATCAAAAAAAATGCTATGAACAAAATGTTAGAATTTTTGAGTGAGTAAAAATATTTTATTTATTACATTATATTAAACATATGCCAACTAAATTATTTAATTGGAGAAGTTAAATTAACAAAAAGTTTTTAATACAAAATACAGATATTTATAGAGCTCCTTAGAAATTAAAATAATTTTAATTTCACATTAATACTGTATATTTATGTTAAATGTTAAAACTTATATGATTGTATTCTATTGGTTTATTAAAAAATAAAAGTATATGTATTTCTTTACTTAAGCTATTCTTTACTATTTCTAAAATAATAATTGTTGCAATGAAACATCTTAAATTTTAAATTGTAGTAATTAATGGGTATTTTATATAATTATTTACAATTTGTATACAATATGTTATTAACTTATTGATGGGTTCTATTAATTATGATTTTAGACATTTGAGTTTAATGGCTGAAGAATGTTCTGATGATATGCTTTTAAAATGGTTTCGTGTAATTGAATGTTTAGCAGCTGGGGGTGTTTCCCCAATTGATGATATTCAATATGCTATACCAGTATTTTCTATGTTCCCTTATCGTTTTAGTACATTACCTCGCCAACACATTGTAAGTATTTATTTCAAAAATATTTTTAAATGTTATTGTTAAATTTTATGGTGTAATTTTTTTATATCTTATTTTAAATTAAATTAAATGTAGTAAAATTATAAAAAGATCAATCAGATTCTTTTAACAGAATTTTTAATATTTTACACACTACAGTATTATACATTATCATCAGGGCCATCTTAAAGTAAAAAATATGAGGAAGTGAAAAAATTATTTTTGTCAATTAAATAAATTTTTTCAAGGGTTTTTAGTAATCCTGTGTATTGAAAAATTGCCGACTGAAATAATTAAGTATTAACTAGTTGTTTTCTGCATCCCCTTGGGACAGCTCTGACACAACCATTCCTTTTTAAAGTAATTTTTTTTAAATTTTAATAGATATCTATTTTCTAGAAATTTGTGTATACCTAGTCATGTCATAAGTTCTGCCCCTATTAATTAGTTGTATAAATATTTTATGATAAAACTAATAAATTTGATCAAGATCGTCTGAAGAAGTGTATAAATGTAAATTGTGGATATATTGAATAGTATTTAATTTTTTTTAGTTACTATGTTAATAAAGAATAAATAACATTTATTCAGATTTTTTATATTTATTTTATTTTATTTATTAAATATATACCTTTGTATAAGGGACTGAACCTATGTCAAGACTAGGTGAAATCTGTAAAATTATTTTGGAATAATTACTATGTATATTTTTAGACTGTACTTTTGAAATTGTATAATATGCATCGTGGACTTAGAAGAAGAGTGAGATTAAAAAAATTAGCTCAGTATATTCAATTAATGGATCGAGCTATAGAGGCCAAAGGAGGACCTGAAGAATTAACCCAACGTCAATTACAATGGGTATGTTTGATATATAGCACTTATTATTTTCTCAATTCTATCTAATTTATTATTCAATAATAATTTTTTAAATTATTTTGAGTTAAATTAAAATATTATTGTTGATACAAATAAAAACTATATAATTATAAAATGTCTGGTTAATAACAACTTGAATTATTAGGGAAATGTGTGATAGTAAAGTAGAAAAGTGTCGGTTTTATGCGTGGCCTATGCTCAAACATTAAGTCTTTAATACCTCTGTAACTAATTATGTTACCTCTGTAACATACATTTTCTAAATTAAAGTAAATAAATAGCTGTAATTTTAAGCTTTGAAATAATACACTTTATATATACAGCAGGGTGGCCCACCACTCACTGACAACTTAAAAAACTTTTGATCCAGTTAATATTTTTAGCTGATTTTTTTTTTAAATAATAGTTATACGTTAGGTCTATAGCTATATCTCAATAATTAATTTTTTTACATTTTATTAAAAATATTAATTATTTTTAAATTTTAAATAAAATATAAAAAAAAAATCTAAGATAGCTATTTTGTAGAGTAGAATTTAAGAAAAATTTTAGTAAAAAAATATCTTATTAATATTCAATAGTAAATATTCTGTAGCGTTTTGAAGTTTGTAAAAATTTGAATTTTCATGTATTATTTTACGGTAATAAACATTGAAATACGTATTGAGAAAAGGACAGAAGAAAACGCTATCTTTTCATGATTACTGTGTATACATATGATGATAGTGTGTATACATTACAAACTTGGCATAAATACCATGATAAGAAATTAGATAAGGCAATTATTACTTATCACTCTCATTCAAAAGTATATTGAAAAGATAGCGTTTTCTTCTGTCCTTTTCTCAATACGTATTTCAATGTTTAATACCGTAAAATAGTACATGAAAATTCAAATTTTCACAAACTTCAAAACGCTACAGAATATTTACTACTGAATATTAATAAGATATTTTTTTACTAAAATTTTTCTTAAATTCTACTCTACAAAATAGCTATCTTAGATTTTTTTTTTACATTTTATTTAAAATTTAAAAATAATTAATATTTTTAATAAAATGTAAAAAAATTAATTATTGAGATATAGCTATAGACCTAACGTATAACTATTATTTAAAAAAAAAATCAGCTAAAAATATTAACTGGATCAAAAGTTTTTTAAGTTGTCAGTGAGTGGTGGGCCACCTGTATATATTAAGTGTATAAGTTGAATTGATAATATAGTTACTTTATAGGAGCTCTTACTTTTATGACTACTCTCATTATATATTAATAACTTACAAAAACAGTCAAATTTTAGTAATAACCTTCTTTTTTACCATTAAAACTTGATTAGATTTAATTTTAATGTACTATTAACCAAATTTCATTAAAATAGTAGGATGATTTTTTTTTCAAAATGTAATGATTAACATTTTGCTGTTAGTATTATGCAATATCTTACATTTAGAATGAATGTGTATTTATATTCAATATTATTTTATAGTTCTTAATTATGTTAAAAATATTATAAAAATCAAAGTATATAAAAGTTGTATTACACATAATAAACTTTATATTCATTAATTGCAAATGTTATTTTTATTCATGTTTCAGGCTTGTCTATTTAGAGGATTGAATCCATTCTCATCGAATAAGGATAATTTAGTTTCTTATTTAAATAACTGGTTAAAAGTGAGTTCAAAAATTGACAAGGATACTCTTAGCTGTATTCTTCACTGTCAAGTATTACTTGCTTTGAACCGACCTGAAAATGACATTTTAAGGAAAACTGATTAACAAATAATACTCTATATTAAGTAATGATCTATATTTATGTAGACACTAGATGAAGAAATTGTTATTTTTTTAAAATCTAGTCTGTTTTATATTTATTTTATTGTTTATTTTATTTTTATAAAAATAATAATGTTAATATCATGTTTTATCTTTTTGATGTTAAATTTTGTTGCATTATAATTTTTGTTAATAAAAAACAAAAAAGTTGTTCATCAACTCATAAATTATAATGTTGTATGATGTATTAATTAATCATAAGATTTTATTTAAGAGTTGTTATTGATTATTATTGTATTGTTTGTAGTTTTATTCTTATATCATAATCAAAAAATTATTATTTTAAGAGAAATCAAATCTAAATGATAAAATACAATAAGTAAAAATAGGCGTATGACAAGGAGAGCATTTATATCCTACATTATTTTTACTGTTGTGCAATAATGTTTAAAACTTTTAAGAATTGTACGTTTTTTCTGTTGCAAACAAAAAACCCTTAACATACCAATAATTATTTTATGTCGAATAATTATAATAGTAAAATGATAGAGAGAGAGAGAGAGTGAGAGAGAATGAAGCTTATGAAAAAGTTATGTTAAAAAACAGGTTAGAAAATTTTGAATATATACAGAGTGATCAGTTTATCATGAACCACTCGATTACTGGCAAAATAAATACAATGTCGGAAAAATAATTTTTGATTTATCAGCTAATAATTACTTTTTAGAATCATCCCTTATTACCTAAAAAGGTATCAAGTTTATTTTTTATACGGCATCGTATACAGTGTGGAATAGATCTAATCGACAACTCATATAACTTATGATCTATATCAAATTTTATACTTTTTTTTTTTTTAATAAAATTTTACAATATAGGACTATATTTAAAATATGTTTTATATTATATTTTAGCGTTTAGCGATCCTTCGCGTGATCTTAAAAGCTGAGGCTTTCTATTCTAATGGATTAATTACAATGGGAAACGACTCGTAGGTGTTTCTTGAAAATCTGAACAATAGAGTTTATCCCATAATTATTTGGTTATTTTGTATTTTAAATAAGGAAACCCTGTTTTGGTAATCTTTTACTTATGAATAGCAGTAAGTAAAGTGTAATTACGATACATTTTGATTTAATCTAGTGCTGACGGTCTTACTTGTACTCCGCACTTGCCTATTTGTTATACAAATAGATAGTTTTATATAATTTATGAATCCAATAATTGTATTTCTGAATTTAATGAAATTAAACCAAATATTTTTTTTTATTTAACATTAGTAATGAAGTATAAAGGAAATACAAAATAGGTCTATAGCTTGCTTTTACATGACCCAAAATTCTCGTTCAGTCAAGTATGATTCTAACATTGCACATCAAGTGGGGGGTGATAATTGTCTTTTATCTATAAGAAGATTTTTGTATCAAAATTTGTTAAATACCTAACATTTAGAATACTATACAACAATAGTTTTTTTCTATGAGAAACTGATTAATCATTTAGGTAACTCGGTCAATTATACAGTGCTTATTGTGGAAACCAAATTAATGATCAAGTAAATGCTGTATTTTTTCAATCTAGGTATTGCCTATAGGGGAGTTTAATTTCGAGTCCTAATGTGTCATGTTAAGTATTTCAGTCTCCTCCAGTAATAACCTATCGTCTAGAGACTGAAGGAATTCAAAAAGATTAGTTTCTACCATTGCGTCGATAATTTTCTTTTTAACTGGATTTTTGAATATGTATTGGAATGACTGTTTACTTTATCGGCCGTCAAAAGAAAAATTTTATTGATCACTGTTAGATATTTATACTTGTGCCAACTATATCACGTCGCCGCTATGTTCGACCTCTTTGATTTTGTTAGGTTTTTTATACAAAATAATAAATATTTTCAAAAAATTACAATTATTCTATGTAATAATAAGCGTGAGTATTTATGAGTTTATAAATGAGCCTATTGTTAATTGAGTATTGAAAAAGAAAATAAGTGTATTCACATTTAAATTTTTTTCACATTCAATTCAGTGTTATTTATTTTTAGACCTATTTTTTCCATTTAAAAAGTGTAGAATGTAAAGTAGCATTGTTTAATGGCTTTGTGTTTGTATAAAATAATGTATTATGTATATCAGAGCCTTACCTGATAATTTATGTGGGTACTTATTACTACAAGCAGGGTGGTTATTTGATAGGTGAAGTACTCGTTTAAGAGAAAAACAGATACTATAGAGTGTTAGGAACATTATAATTGACTGCTCAACCGAAGAGGGTAGAAATACTTGAATCCGGATTTGCGGCTGTAATGCTAAAAATACGATTTGTGAATTTATATTTTATTTTTACGGTTCGTTGAAGAAAATGAGCATTTATTATTTCGTCCCAAAGGTTCTACCTTGGCTTTTGAATTATGAACAAAATAACAAAATTAAATTGAAAAAAAAGTCCTAAAAACATAAACTGTTACTTTATGGGAACGTGTAAATAAGTTAATAGACTTTTTTTTATATCGTCAAAAATAATAAAAATTAAAAATTTTTTTTATAAATATAAAAAAAAAAATACGTATCATTTAAACCTTAAAAGTAGTCGTTACATTCATTATATAATGAATTAACTTAAATATAACTGTATGATAATTTCGTTGTTAAAAAAGTCTACTGAAAAACTCCTTCCAATTTGGAATACTTAAAAGTACCTTAATTTTAATTAATTAATAATTAAGGAGGAGGAGGAGGAGGAGGAGGTAACATAATATTTAGCTTCAATGCGAAGCTATGAAGGTATTTATTTTACTGTGATATGTTTTTTTTTATGTCTGTTGCCACATCACAGCTCTCCCGGACCAATTTATTTTTTTTACTTTGAAACTTAAGGTATTTTCATTACATTTGATAACATTTTATTAGAAACCTGCCTATAGGAGGATTTCAAATTAGAATCTTACACGAAACTTAACTTTTAATCATGTTCTGGAAATGTTGCATCTTTTAATGATATGTAAAATAAAAAAAAAGTTTTAAGGGCAAATGGCTGCTGTAGTCAAAAAAATGCTATTTTTGTGTTTAAATTTTTATTTTTTTTTATTTTAAAATACTTTACAAGGGCTTGCCATAGTAATGTGATAACCGATATTTATGAAAGTTACATGAATCTAAATTACATTGAATATATATGTAAAATTATTTTAAATATTTTGTCTCCCCTAAGTTAATAAAAATGACTTTGAATTTTTGAATTAGCCACAATTGTTCATTTTATCCACCAACGCGTAGGATGTACGGTTGCCGCATCTGTTATGCTTAAGTCTCTCACACTTGCGACACGAACGTGGAGATTAAATCACGATCATTGAGATAATTTTTTTTTGAGTAAGAAAAAATTCAAAATTCGTTTGATTTTTATCATACTTAGATTGAATAACTTAAATGAATATCAAGATCTCCATCAGTGTAGTCTCCCCTCGTGAAATTGAATTTCTTATTCATATTAAAATTATTTTATTATATGGTTTTTTTTTTTGTCGGTTATTCATTTTTTTCAGCACTCATTTGTTCAATTTTTTTACGATACATAAAAATAATCATAACCAGTATCTAGTTAAAAATATTACCCTCAAAAATTGAAAAAAATTTCTACTTTATCAAATAAAAAGTTGCTTAATCGAATTTCTCCATATAGACAATTCAAATTATTTATTTTTGATGTTTTTAAAGTATTAAAGTATTGAATTAGGTTTGATATGATAATAGATTTTAATTACAAAGTTGAAATACCTTACTTTGTTATTTATTGATTTTTTAACTCTATTTGTGTGTCATATTATCGTTGTATAATATTCCTAATTTTTTGTTAATATGTTGCTATATAAATAATTTCTATTTATAAAGTATTAAGTCTGGTGATAGTGTGTGTTATTTTTAATTCTGTCAAATAAGAGTATAAAATTCGTTTTTATACTGAATTAAACAGTAAAATCATATCACTGAAAGGAAACATTTTTTAATCAGCATAGACCAAAATATACATTGCTAAAACACGTTTTTGCGCTGATTTTAAATCTGCAATTAAATATTTTCCATCACCTCTTTTTTTGTGACTATTACTAATTTATAAAAACGAATATTTACATTTAATTATATAACTTACATTACTTAAAGAATTACAATTAATCAAATTTTTGAAAAATGCCCAATTTTTCGTTAAAATCACTTATTATATTGTTTGTATTTATATTATAATAAATCATTTCAATAGAAATACTAATCATTTCTATGTAACTTTTGGTGTCTAATTGAATGCTACAATTAAAATATACTGAAATATATTCTGTATAGTTATATTCTATAGTATTCTATAATATACTGATGTTCTTAATAATCTGTGCCTAGTTTACTTATATATACTCTCTGTCAATATGTTGTTGAATTTCATTTTACCCTATATTTTTTATATGTTATTACTTATTTTTAACTAAATAGTGACTTTAGAAAAAATCTAATAGCAGATTTCAAATCAGCGCGACAAATTGATCGAGTGAAGTATATTTTTGACTCTGATGAAAATACATTGTAGACCATTTATTTATAAATAACAACAAATTATTTTCTGAAAAGTTTTGTATCAAGCTCTTCAATTTTTATACAAGTTTACCATAAAAGTAACAACTACTTTATTTTTTTTTATTTCTCCGTAAAAATCACAATATTAAATGATTAAATAGCATTTTCATAATATATTTAATTTCTATAATAAATATTTATTTATATATTATACTTATAAATCAAAGAACTACTAGTCAAGAATAATGAAGGAAAGAGGAGTTCATTTTGCTTTTGGAATAATTGAACATTTTTTTTAAATTATACACTATGTACAGATTTTTGCATTGAAGCGTTTCTTATGAAGTGATTTTAATTACTGTCAGATATTATCTATACTTAGTCCAACTAATCTACGTTTTTACTGTATCATAACCCCCTGTGCTTCCATTTTTTTAAATTTGGTTGTTTAGTGTTAAATAAAATGGTTTAGCGATAAATTAATTTAATAAAGTTTTGTAAATACAGTAAAACTGATAGATATTATAATGTCTACTAACTTTAATTTTTTAAAGATTGCAATAATAAAAATATTTTAGTACCAGTTTTGACTAATACTCAGTCTACACTTGGTACAAATCTTCAATTTAAAATAAATTATAGAACACAACTTTGAATCAAAACATTAAATATTAATGATAATATATTTTTTATGATAATTTAAAAAACAAGATTATATTAAAAATTTAAGGTAACATTGCTAATTTATTTATTTATTTTTTAATTCAGAATAGTATTTATATTTATATTATGTTAACAATTTAATATTATGAAGAATACCATGTAAGTTATAACCAGTGTTGGGAAAGTTCCTTTTTAAATGGAACTCGTTCCGTTCCCCGTTCATTTTCTAAAATATGAACTCGTTCCAGATCCTAGTTCTTTATATTAAGAAGGAACTCTTCGTTCTTTTTATGTAACCAAGTTATTTAAAAAATTGTGGCAATGAGATCATGATAACGGTCATCAATGATTTTCATCAGCAGTCGAATACAAAACAAATTTGTAGTATTCCTTATCTAAAAGTATTCGAAAATTATATTTATAAGCAGGTAGTAAATGCTAACGACTTGTGTCAACGCGACCAATGTCTATTGTCTACATATAAGTTAGAAATAATAAATCAGAAAACCCAAAACCTTTAACATAAATTAGTTAACAAGAAACGACGATAATATTCGGTGCATTATTTAATATATGTACACATATATTAAATATTTACTGTATACCTACATGTGATAATAACTCTATCTATAGTCAATTGATTCATTTAAACAGCCTACGATCTCGGCTGGGTATATAGGGGACTTCCATTGTCAAAAGTCAACTAAAAATACCTTAATATTTTAATGTCTAGATACGAAGAAAACTACACTAAAACATGTTTATAAAAAATTTTAGGAACTGTAATTTCCGTTCACGTTCCTTAAAAAATGGAATTTGTTCATTTTCCTCGTTCCTTTATTTTAAAAGGAAGCAGTTCCTAGCATCGTTCCTTCAAAAAGAACTCGTTCTAGGAATCCGTTCCTTTTGGAACCAATTCCTTCTCAACACTGGTTATAACAATATAAGTTTTTTATTCATATGTTTTTTTAAATTTTGTATATCATTTTTATATCACTTATACATTTTCAATTACTAGCATATTTGTGTCAGTAAATATCTAATTTTTGTGATACTTATTAACTAGTAATAACGTCATAGAAAATATAACATTTTTTTTAAACTTTCCTAAAATGATTTCAAGATGTTAACAAGAATTATATATAATTTGAAACTGTTCCAACAAGTTAAACCAATTTTTTGTATCTTTAAAGTAAAATTTAAAAGTTATTAAAAAAAAATCCTCACACTCGAATATAACTTTTTTTTTTATTTAACTTGACATGGCACCGCAATTCCCTCAGCTGCACATCTCGTTTTCAACATAAGTGAAAGTGTATGGTGGCTTAGTGGTTAGGTATGTCTCTACAATACCTTAAGTCGCGGGTTCTAATCCCATACTGTGCCTTTTTTTTTACACGATTTCCGGTACACTTTCTATAACCGACCGTCAATCATTAGCTGCCGTGTTACAACTTATAATTATGAAAATTTAACCAACAAATAGAAAATTTCATAGATATTAAAAATATATTAACATTGTGCATTTAAAGTAAATATAAAGTGAAAAAATTTCTGTTAATTCAAATAATATGGATAATTTTCGAAAATTTGTAACAAATAAATTTTAAATTTTAAAATAGTTATTTTTGTAATTCTTAAATTACAAAAAAAATGTATTGAAGTTAATGAGACAGTTTTTAAAACTGCCTCATAATAAATTTTGATGATTTCTTTTCTGCTAATATTTTTATTAAAAATTTCAAAGTTCATATTTCTATTAATTGTGACACTGATCCTTAGTTATTTGACCTACCTTATAAAAAATAGAAGTGATTACCTTTTCTTCAAAAGAAACGTTCAAATCAATTTTTATTTTAGTTCATTAATATAATTCGTTTTAACTTATTAATATTTCATAATGATTATAATCACATGTCCAAACTTAGAAAATTATACAAAAATTATTATTTTCTGTTTGGTTTTATTAAAATTCATATTACTTGAACATTTCAGTTAGCGATTTAAACATATTTAATTAGTAAACATACTTTAGAAGTTTATAGGATAGATTTTAAACTAATTAGCTGACCGTGATCACGTCAATCGAACCAAAGTGCATTATAATAAAAGACAGCCATATTAGATTAGTTTGGTCTTTAATACCAAAAGTACTAATATACATGCAAATAGACTACTTTGTGCGCTTTATTTAAAGTGATTATACCCAGTAAACTTATTTGAATATCTATTGGCTTTCTAAGTTTTATTTAAGTTATCTAAACTAAAAACTATATAGTTATATTATAGGCTTTATAATTGTAATGGTTAAATTTAATATATATAATAATATTTTTCAACACCTCACAAAGGTAATACTTATATACTAAAATAATTGTTCTATGGTAAATATGAACAAAATGGCTAATTGTAGACAGATTCTTAAAAGGATTTACCTATTATTATTATTATTTGAAATACATTAACCAAGATAATAATATTTTAAAGGATTAAAATTTGCCAATCTCAATTAATATTTGACAAATATGCTAAATAGTAATGAAGTTGTAATTCAAGTAGTGAATACATGCTTAAAAAAATGTTAGCAGAAGATTTTAGGGGCTTCCCTTATCCAACTCTTCTTTATCTTCTTAATGATTCTAATATACCCTCCCCTTAAATAGTCATTGCCCGTTAAAAATAATGTAATACATTTTGTAACATAATATTACACTCGTCGCTAAATTACTTTTGTTAATATGCACTACAAATAAATCAATAGTATATATGTAGAGTATTTGCGTAAAAAAAGGGGAAAACGCTTTTGTCACAAACAGAATGTTGCTCTGAGATTCATTTGGTCCAATATTTGACGAAGTGGTCACAGCTTCTAATATTTTCTAATATCATTCCCCCAATATCGTGCGAATCGTAATCACTTCAACTTTTTTTAAACTTAAAAAACATGTTTACACTAATATAAAAAATATGAAATATGTTAATATGTTTTATCTCACTAGTAATACTTCATCTATTAGAAATTGAAATGTTTTTATGGATTGTGTTGCATACATACAAGGTAATTTATTAAGGTTGTTGCGTTTTACTTTGTCACCAACTTATGATTATTTCACAAAATGTTATGAATAAAGTCGATAAAATATAATAAATAATATTCATTTTTTTTGTAAAAAAAAATTGGAGTTTTTTAATGGATAATTTTTGAAATTTTTTTATTGTAATTAGTTTGTAAAATATACCTTTGAAAATTTAACAGATATTAATCTGTCAAATTTTTTAGTTAGTTTCAATATTTATTTCTATTTTATCATTTATACTTGTTTGATCTTTATAATATAATTTTTTTACAAATGTTTTATAAGCAGTTGAACGTTAATTATATTTATTCATAAAGTTCTTTTGTACGATGTTCATTTTTTTATGAATTGCTTTAAAGCTTTTTTTAAAATCAGATAATTTCAATAAATTCATTTTTTTTTTTATTCGAAATAAATAACGATATTGTAAATATTAAGCTCTATAAATTATAAAAACTGACCAGTGGGACATTTATGTATTGTTATTGACTATTCAATACGCCGTTGGATACAAAAGTATTCTACAGCAATTTGAAAAGTAAAATGCTTATTAGCATGCAATATTTTTCAATTAAACTATTTAAAAATAAAAATTAATGCATAATACAAATCTGTTAAATTTTAACATGCTTAAATTAATTTTTATGGAATATAATAGAAATAATTTTTCGGTATTATTTAATATTTTAAATAATTCTTATCGTTTCTAAATAAATACAATTTATGAGTAATTATACAAAACCGATTCCATGATAACCTTTTTGTGATATTAACGTTTAATGAAAATGTAAATAACAAAATAATTATTTTTAACTCTCTATTTTTGTAGTTATTCAACACCACAATGCTATAGATTTACTAGGAAATTATTCAGTAATCACAAAAGTTTTTGTAATAAATATGAGATCAAAAAATTATATCGCTAGGGACTTGATCATATGATTTTAATAATATCTTGCTGCATAGTTATTTTAAATGGAGACTCAGGAATTCTATACGCGTACGGTAGAAGTTTCTTTATTTTGTAGTCAAATAAACTAAAAGATTATTAAATTCAAACAAGGTGCGCACGTAGTGTTTTCAGACACAACGTTATTATGACAAGGTTTTGAATTTTTCGTTCTACATTTAATGGTTTTCACATATTATCTCCGACATTTTCAAGCGTTTAGAAGTAATTATTGTTCATTACCGAAAATCACGATTAACCTGTTTACCGGAAATAATTCTGCTTAAAAGTTTAGTGCACTATAATTGTCCATACCTGTTAAAACAAATACACTGAAAACACCCCGTTTGGTGGTGCTGAAGGTCAGGACCGGCGTGAAATTGATATAATGCCGCCGAATCCCTCGTTGTATTGCCGTCAGTAGTTATGTGGCCGTTGGCCGTATCGCTCGTCGCATGGATTGCGTACTGGTTCATTTTCAGCGTCCGGCATATCGACGTATTTGCAATAGATTCAACAGGTAAGATACTTCACATCTATTCAATTTTGAGCAATTAATGTCCTTTGAACTATAAAAGACTGTAATAATGCTTAAAGTATCATTATTTTAATGTAAGAAGTTTTATTTCTCTTTTGTTTTAAATGTGATACAAATCTGAATTATTCAATATAATTTTTAATTAAATAATAATAAAAAAAAAGTGAGTGAATTTTTAGTACGAGTGTGCTGAATTTTTTAATATTATTACATGTTAACAGAAATAACTGTATAAGATGTAGTCGAGAAAAATTCGCAAGAGTTCATAAATTGATGTTTGAAATTCACAGTAATTGGGTTTTGATTTAAAATTAAATAATAATTTTTCATTTTAATTAAGAATACCTCATTGAAACTATGCGCAAATACTCACTTCATATTTTTTATTTGATAATTTCAAATGAATAATAAAAATCTGCGTTCTCATTGAAAATGTATGTATACAAAATAATTGGTTATTTATTTCTCATTGCATTTATATTCAATGACATTTCAAATAGCATACTAAATAAATGTAAAGAGAAGGCTGATAAGAACCATTGCAGTTTTTATTCGATGGTAGTTTTTATAACCAATGGAAATTATTCATTACGTCTATTGTATAAACTGAACATTTTTAAATAATGATTTGATATTTTTTTTTTCAATTAAATTTTTTTATTTTTGCATAGATCAAGGATTTTTTATCTGAATGTTTTTTTATATAATTAGTGTAAGTAATTTATTTTTAATTTTTATGATAATTCGGTTTGATGTACGTGGATTATTTAAAATTATTTTATATCATCGGGATGCATATGAAAAAGAAAATAAAATAATAAAATTTATTTTCAAAAATTGTATAAACATAGATAAGTATTTTAAGAAGAAAATCTTAGCTACTTAGAGTTTATGCATAATGTGACTTTTGTTTTTGCCGCAATTAAATCGCTTATAAATCTAATTGATAGTTGTGAATGTAAACGAAACACTTTATTCTAGTGAAGGTGTTTATTTTTATGTTCTTTCCTGTACAATATATGTTACGCAATAAATTACAAGTGTTGTAATAACAGCCGTAATTTTCTTTATGCACATAAGTAGGTTGTTTATTACCAACAAGGGGTGAATTTAAATTCAATACTTTCAAATGTTAAAATAACTGATCGGATTACTTTCATAGGATGATTTACAATTTAACGGTCATATTTCAAACAGAAGTACATAAAAGTATAAATGAACGTTTGGTAATCTTGTCGAAAGATTGCCAATATAACTATACGGCGCATAGTGCTCTTCACTATTGACCATCTATAAAAAAATATGATCCTTTCATCTATTTTGAACTACATTTTTGGTCAAGTGTCGAGTACTGTGTTTGTTCAGTCGTCTTTATGTTCCGAAATTGCAATTTTCGCATACAACGAGTTTTCGGACCTTGTACAGCAGGTACTAAAAAAGGGCATTACTTATTTAGACACTATTGGAAGTTCAGAGTAAATAATGTTCCAACTTTTCAGAAAAATACCCGACTAATATATTGTCAATATTATTCAAAGACTTGCCAGTTTTTCGGTGTCAATATTTTACAGTATACCTACCAAGTAAAAAATAAGTAAAAAGTTAAAGCTTATAAATCATACAAAAAAAAAAAAAAAAATCAAAATTTAGTGATTTTAAAAATTGTAATTTTTTGGGATTTCTTCAGGNAAAAAAAAAAAAAAAAAAAAAAATGGAAAAAATTTATTATTATAAAAAAATGTAAAGTATGATTTTTTTTTTTCAATATAGAGATTTGATGAAATTTTTTTTTATTATTTTTTTGAGGACATATGACATTATTAAAATAACAATATTATAATTATATACTGCGGCAAATATCAAGTAACTTTTTATACTGTCTTAAAAGGTTTTTGATAAACGTAGCTATTCTACTTGTGACGGAAATTCCGTTATGTCGAAATCAAATTTATCATTTATTTAATTTAGACGTCGAATAATTTCTTATTAAATAATTGACATTGAAATCGGATGTTATTTTCTGTAAGTTACACCAGAAAAGTTTAGAAATTCAATTTAAATGTCAAAATATCCTGATACGACTTTTACGACATTTGCCAAAAATAAAAAAGTAAAAACCAGGTACGAAATTAAAACGAGATTGTCGTGCGTCTCTTTGCAATTAAAAATCATATCACGTTTTTGAACAGTTAACTTTTGGAACACAATTATTTCAATTATATTTCTCATATAAACCGCGCACATTAAAACAATTTTAAGATAAGAATGGGTAGATTTATATGGTTCTTCAACAAAGGTAATTCTGGAGAGTCTCATGAAAAATTCAATTGCCTATTGCTCAGACAATATCAAACAGCACTGAGCAGCACCTTTTTTCGTTGTAGATTTAACCGTTTGTAATAATAATAACGGAGAGGGAAAAAAGTAGAGAAAATCGGATCTGTATAAATAGTTATAGTATCTGTGTTGTCGAAAACGATTTATATTGCTATTATTACGCCGTTTGTTTTGATATTCACGAATACCATATAGACTTTTGAACATGCCAATACCGTCTTGTACTGCACTAGTACGTGTGTGAATTTGAAAACATATTCATACTAAACAGAATTTAAGGTCACTTGGATCAGGTGCCGCACATATTACATTTTATTCATACGACGTTGTCTGCCGCCGGTCCGTGACTGTTTTTTTATTTAGCGCGCATAATGTGAAATTAGATAAATCGAGAGGAAGACCGTTGTCGCCGACTTCTAACGATTACCTTTCTTACAACCCGTACGTCTAACTGCACGCAGGCGGCATAAAAGTTATTTCAAGAACCTCACAACTCGCGATAAATTTAATTATGAGGTACCAAGTACCTTTTTTTTTGTTTTATACACAACAGCACAAAAGAGTTGTTATTTGTTGGAATTGTTCGCGTACGCATTTTTTATTGTTCGCAAACGGTGGTAGTTTCAAGATTTTTTTTATCAAGAGGTCATTACATATTTACAGCACTACCCCTTTCAAAAATATGTATCAATGAGATAGTCGCGAACCATATTGTTTTGATTATATTAACTTTTAATGGGCGGCATTGCAAATAAATTGACATGAAAATACATATATTTTCTCAATCATAATTTTTCATTTATGTAGGATATTTTTAGTTTGGCATTGACAACATTTAGTTTGGATAAAAGACAACCGACAGATAAACTTCAAAGAAGAAAAATGTGAATAAATATGATCGCTCAAAGGACAATTTAAATAAATAACTCAAAAAAGTTTTTGGTATACACCTTTATATTCTTTGAATTTTTTTTTCTTTACTTGTCCTTCGCCGGTTTTTGGTTTATTTTGTTTATAAAACGTTAAAAAAAGTAATACATACTTATTTATATATACACCAATTTAATAACATAAGTACTAGAGTGCGGAGTGTAAATGTTGGTCATTTGTGGGGCATATCACGTTCGTATTAAAATATGTTGTTCGTAAAGTTACCGGACATGTTATTGATGTAGTAAAGAGGAAGAGTAAAAAAAAAAAATTACATTAATGCCGGTATTTAGGTAAAAGGAGACTACAAATGTCCTCTGGCGGTTCAGATGACATAAAAAATAATCTTTCTTTTACTAGCCGTCATGTAGTTTAATACATTTAAAGATGTTTAAAGTATACATATATTGACTCATTTTTGTTGAAAACACTATTTTACATGATTTTTATGTGCAGTAGTATATATTTTTAATAATAAAGAAACTAATTTTAATATAATTTTTGAATCAGTAGCATATTATGTTACTATTTCTGTTGTATATATTCAATAAAATATTTTACTATAAAAATATGTGAAGGTATTTAATTTAATAACTTTTATGTAGTTTCGATATAGTAAACATGTAAATTATATCACGTATAAATTATTTGCAAAAATTTCAAATTTAAACTTCAATATAGAAAGATAAATTTTCGTGAGTTCAAAATATAGTTGTATGTAATCAAAATTTAATAATGTAGATATGAACAAATTAAAAATTTATATGAATTTTCTTATTACCGTATAGTATTGAGAAGTATGTTTTAAGCATAAATATATGTTTCAGGCTAAGAAAATTTCCTTGAACTTGTCTAAAACCGTTAGAGTTATCTGATGCTTCACGTCTCTGTAGTTTTAAAGCAAGTTTTAATGATCTGTTTATATATATAAACAACAAATACTGTTGAGATTATTTCACTATAAAATTATTTCCCGTTTAAATGATTATTTACAGCACTTTTCAATGGAAACGTACAAATCCACATTTTAAACTCTATTCAATTGTTTTAATTATATATTTTATGTATTTAAAAGAAATTTCAATGAAATTAGTAATGCATAAAAAAGAAAAAGTAGCGTACAAGTGGTATTCCTGTACTTGAACTCGGCTTTTCATCCGATTGGGAATTTTTATCAGTGTACTAGCTAATGACAAGAACATTTTTTCAAATAGAAGACCTGATTACGCAATATATAATTAAATTTATTATAGCGTTAGTCGAAAATAATATGTCAAGTATACATATAACCATTACGGTAAATGTTATTATTATTATACGTTTTGATTTTCGAGTAGAGTGTATTTCACAAAAAAGAAAAAATTATTATCAAAACAAAAATGGACTATATAAGAAATAGCACCACGTCTTCCGTGTAAATCATTTCTATAACTTCTAACCTCTATAATGTACATTTTCCCGTATAGTGTCTTTCGTTATTATATGAATCGCCAGATACGCTTCACTTTTGTGACTTTTTGTTCGACGCATATTGCAAAGTCTTGACAATTTTTGGGTTGCGCTTGTACGCAAAAACGTAAAAAAAGCCAAGATAGAGAAATACTCATCCGTTATGTAATTTGCACATATTATTGAGAATCTTTTGATTTTATTCTAGTGGCAACTTAGAACTGCGTTCGTGGCAAATGGTAATATCCTGCATCCGTTGACTTGGG